CGAAACACAGTGCAACGTTTCTTCCGATACTTTTTTCTTTTTTTTCTATGAGGAACATTAAAGCACTGCGATAATGTCAAGCGAGGCATTTAAAATTTCAGTGAACTTAATCTGTTTGAAACTGAAAAAAATTATAAATTCAAAATGTTCGTTACCATGAATAAACAGAAACTTAAGCTCTACAAAATGTGATCATGGTTACATCACTGCTACACTTGAACATCCAAAATAAATTAACAGTACAGTCACATGTATATAGGGTTGCATGTTTATATGTCTTAATCGATTACTGAAACTATAGCAACGTAAAATTTGTAATAAATGATAAAACAAAAATTTAATCATACGCAAGACGAGAAAACATAATGTTTAGATTCATTTATATTATCACTAAATGAACGACTTTTCCGGAAACATTATACTTTTTTAAAACTAGAATTTTAAGTATTATATCAATGTTTTGTAAAGTGACCTCTTTAATGACTAGGTGTCAATTGATTTGTCCCTTAAATGTTGGAAAGTTATTCGTCCTGTGCTAAACAAACAATAGTCAATCAACTTATCTTTCAAGCTGAACAATAATTGTTTTTTTCAATATTCGGGATTGTCCACATTTTCAAACAGATGTGTTCGATTTCCATTTTAACCATTTTAGTTTTTCTCGCTCATACAAAACCAGAGTGGTATTTTCATTTCATGCCACGGGTGTTTTTGGGGTATGTTGATTGACAGTTCATCCAGTAATCGAAAACTTTTACTGATAGTAACATTGCTGAAATGTATTTAAGTAGCTGTACTGTAACAGCCTGAACAAGTTAGCTTCTAGTAACTCTTTAAAATGTATAATGTAACACGTAAGTTATTTAGATTTTCTAGTAAATGAAAGACAACTCTGATGTCCTCAGTGTTAAATATACACATAGAGAAGACATGGAGCAAACTTAATGCAGGTACTTCTAAATAAGAATTAAAAAAAGATAGCAATATTAATATTAATTGACTTCACGTTCCGCTGTAAAGCTGTTGAATGTCCTCTCACTCTAGAATGTTTGATGACTATGTGCATGTTTATTGCATCTATAACATTGACATTAGGATAGAACTAAACTTTACGACGAGCGAAACATCTTCTTTTTTCGCTTGTGAACATTCAACTTTTATTAAGCAATATTCAATCAAAACGTGAAGAGTGAAATTTACCATGTCAGTTGTTACGATATATCGATATTCTAGCGGCGTTTCCCATCAGGATTTCGTTGATAATGTGTTGCTGCTTACAGGATGGAAGCTATTGAACAAAGAGATCTTTATTGTAAAATTGAAGTCACTCTCCGAAGGTTTTACAGACGCAATCGTAGTTTGGTTTACAGTAATAGAATAATACCTACCTGTATCTACCGGCCATTCACCTTTCGTCGATTATGAAATCAACGAATGCGACTTATCGGATTTTTTATTTATTAAGAGGAACGCGACATGTGCTTCTAGTAGAGCCAGAACTGGATTCATTTTTGAGTTCAGTCCTTGTTTTTTTAGTTTCGTTCGTGTTGTTTGATCTTCAGTTTTCTATGTAGTGTTATGTGGAGTATTGTTTGTCTTTAAAAAATGAGTTATCTTTTCTGCCTTTAGATTTATAGTTACTGTTTGCATCACCTCTGTTAGTGAATTCGTCATAAATGGAATGGTTTGGAATTAATTGATACATGTAAAAACGTCACAGGGTAGGGCAGTGGGAGGATCGTCATTTTGAGGACCGTTTGATAACACAAAAATGTCATGGTGGTAATTTTATGTTTTCAACTCCAAAGCATTACAGGTCTGTAAGTGGAATAGAATGGTCAACTTGGTTCCAATAGAAATTTCGGAGGTCTGAAGAAAGTCAAACAAAACCGATTACTGTCAGTTTCAGATATGTTTTGGTAGAATCATAGTTTTCTTACACATAAGATTTGTCCCAATCTCAAAATTTTGATTTAAACGTAAGACATTCGTTATCATAGAGGTCTGTTCTTAGTATTACAAAAGATTGTGTCTTCCTGTCCTGTATCTTTATAACGTTAGTAAAGGAATTCTTCTTTTAATTACATCCACTGATAAGAGTACATGAACAATTATATAGCAAAGCTTAAAGTATCTTTAAGCAACTGTGACCATTGATTTCTTTATTTCGGTTATTTTCATTCTCATAATAATAAGAAGGTGTGGAATAATTGCCAATAGGGCATCACTCCAAGAAAGACCAAATGACCTAGAAGCTAGCAACTATAGGTCACCGTTTTGTTTTATTGGTTCCGTATTTTGATGTTTTTTTATACCGTTATCATGGAGTTAAGTGTCTTTCTTTCCTGTGCTCATTATAATTGTATGCTCTTTTTGAACATTTCTCAATCGTATTTAGTGATTGCCGCATGTTAATGTACCTGTCGTCGTATTTAATGATTGCCGCATGTTAATGTACCTGTCGTCGTATTTAGTGATTGCCGCATGTTGATGTACCTGTCGTCGTATTGAGTGATTGCCGCATGTTAATGTACCTGTCGTCGTATTTAGTGATTGCCGCATGTTAATGTACCTGTCGTCGTATATAGTGATTGCCGCATGTTTTTGTACCTGTCGTCGTATATAGTGATTTGTTCTTACAAATGGCTGGTGGTCTGTTTGTTATATTTGCTAGCCTTAGAGCTTGACACAGTATAGACACTTGTTTACCAGTGAAGACTACAATTATGTCGCTCGATTTGTATATAAATGATTAAATTTTGTTTAAAGGGGCATTAGCTACGAGATATAACAAAAAGTTAAAATATGATTTTTTTTGTTCAATCATTAATGAAAGTGAAATAGTGAAATAATAATTCGCCTTTAGCAGCATGTTTGGTTCTATTTTGTCAAAATAAGCAAAGAAACATCGCTGATGAATTATTCACTTGCAAGTGAATAATTTGACCTCATTGAACCCGTATTCATGTAACCTTTAATTTGACCCCTTAGCTAGAGATGAGTAACGCATGAATGCAGGTTAAAACGATGATTAACATATAATTTTAACCTATAATATGAAATCAAACAGACCTAGAAAAATCCAATTGCACGGGTTCGCTATCCATTTATATCTACGTTTTTGTTTATATCGGGTTAAATGACCGTCGGCAGTCTTCGGGCGTCATCTCGATGGTTAATTAGAGGGCGTCTTAACTAAAATACAAAAGAAATTCGGATACATATTATCGAACCCATGCATCGTAAATTGTTTATTTTAGACTTTTTATAATTTTGATATACGTTTTAATATGTTATAAATCAAAAATAAGATTTTGAGTCAAATCGGTGAACATGAATTTGACAGATAGTGCCCCTTTTACTTATTTTAATCATTGTATTAGATAACCCCTGTATTAATGTTTAACCATATGATTTTTTTTTGTAATTAGCAAGTGTTTCCCACAATGCATCGTAAATCAGGGCTTATAACTTCCCTTTCTGTTTTAAAATTTGGCCTTCTTCTTTTTTAATGTGTTTTTTGGGGGGCCAAATATGATTGTATGATGATTTATTTAAACATGTACATATTTTGTATGGTACAAAATGTAACATGCACTTTTCAATAAATTAAAATCGTCCGTTTAATGAGTTCAAATTGCAAATGTGCATAAAGGGGGAAAAATGTCAATACATACATATTTTAACAAAATATGCTTTATGGTAAACTTTGCAACAATAAACATTTGCATTTCACCCGTGACTAGGGCGAGAGTATTTAATTTGTTTGTTTACATTTTTTTTTCATTATTTGAAATGATGGAGTCAATCGGTGGAAGAAAAAACATTGCATTCAATAAGTAAAATTTTGTTTATATAAATGTTTTCAACATTGTTCAAACTAGTTTAATCATGCAAGATGTGTCTGTTCCAAATCTGAAATCTTGTCAGTGTTAGTCTTCGGTCCTCTCTTTATGATTTTGATTGCATATAATTTATACTTTACGGAATTTGAAGTTGATGGTAGATCATTGGTATAGTCTCTGTTTTATTTATAAATCCACAACTTTCTATTTTTTATTTTATTTTTGGCAATTTACAGCTTGACATTTTAGAAACTTAGTGTGTTGGAGAATGTATATATTAATTGACATCTACTTTAGTTTTGATGATTTTACTTTCAAAGCAGAAAACAACAAGTGACTTGACAAACCAATTAAGATGGTTTTAAGTGCCTATCAATCCATACTAGTATCACTTGTCGTTAACCTTTAGAACGCTGTAACCCCTATATATGTTATGCTGTTTGCTTGATTGATGTTTCATTGATGTATACACCACATCTTCTTTAATTCAATGCAGAAAGAATTTTTCTATGAAGGGTATATACACAATAAGTATTCAGTGTTCAGAAAAGTTCAAACATATTTTGGTGATACGAATAATTCTAAAGAAATGAGATGAGAAAATTGGTAATGGAAATTATAGGCAGGATATATTTGGACTGTTGAAATAATGAGGTCAGATGAAACTATGCATTTGTTGAAATGGACTGATGGGCAGCCCTCTTGTATATGTTTCTTATTCAATTAGTCTTTATTGCATGCATGTCATACTAGGTTAGAATTTGAAGACTTCCAGACAAAACAAATAATTTATTATATCTCAGTAGAAACACAATGGTTTCAAACCTCTCGTCCTGAATATGCATGTAATCATCCTGAATATGCATGCAATATTTGAAACTTTAAGAATAATCAACATTAAGCGTTAGAACATTGTAGGTCCCTCAATATAACTGGTGTCGGATGTAAAAATGACCCAATCGGTGACCGCAAGACAAAGTGCTGGAACCCGGGATGAATGAACTAGTGAATTTTACGACAACTAATCAGTTTTGACTTCGATTATATTTGACAAGAATAGTCCTAATCAATAATACTAAAAGTCTTCGAAAAAGATGGTATGATAGGCCACTTTTCTATCAAATAACATCTAAATGTTCGATTCACAAGATAAGACAAGGTAGCAAGAATTTTAATTTGGAAAATCCAAACATTCGGATTAAAAACCAACAAACAGATATGAAACATTACAATATAACACAAAGCAAAATAAAATAAATAATGATATAAACATAAATATTACATGTGACAAATGTTTTTCTTGTGTGAAAATATGCCTCCTCCCAAAATAGCATTATATATAAAGTTAGACAAGGGATGAAGAAGTGATTGCTGCCTAATAGTAAAATATATAAGTCATATGCTAAAACGGCGGAAAATTCATTATTAATATACATATAATATCAAACATGTAAATACACAAGTCATGTCCAAGTATTAAGATTGTTTCTATCATACATTTCAATAATATCAATAACAATAATCTTTAAGATGCAAGATTTCGCACACATAAGAGATATTGAAATTTATTGTCATCACTTCATAACTCATTGTGTTGGCTCAAGGAACAGTATCAGAAATAGTATGAATCTAAACTAATTTAGGTTTGGACACATAATTACAAAATAGAATTCATCTCCTAACTTCTTATAACATTGAGGACATCTTCTATTTTTCTAAAGCTGTCTACTTTAACGACAAATTGCTTAACTAGTATTCCTTATTCTTATTTTGGCAAACATTGCATAACTGTTGTATCTAAATTTAGTAAGAGATCATTTTCAAATTCATACTCAACTTTAAATTTCCGGTAAGTTCTTAATTTACTTCCATGAATTGAATTATCATAATAAAAAGATAGCTTTTCTGAAATGCCATTTAAATTTTATTATTTTACTCTTGCAACAGAAAGAAATCGGATTTCAGAAAAAAAAAAGGTACGCTGATTTTCCCCAACATGAGAAATATTCAACTTAGACAGTGGTATATTGACTTTTGGAGCAAATTTTTACGCCTGTCATTAATATTGATGTATAAGCCAAGGTCTAATTCAGAAAGATAATTTTCTAGATGTCTCATACCAAGCTGTTAGTAGGGCTTACATATATTTTGAAAAAACAGTAGCTCACATTTAATTTTTTGAAAAATGGCCATCTTTGGTCAAATATGTCACTTCCAATATATTAATAACGTCACAGTGACAAACAAAACTGATATTACGAAATAAGTGTCCAGTTCATATCATCCTATACATTTATCGATCAAACTAAAAAATATTTGAACGGATTGAAAGACTTGTACATTTATTTGTAAATTGAGAGATCACATAATTGCTCTTATTGTGCCTCATCATTTTTTCAATGTATTTGATTTCGAAAGCATTATAAACAAAATTGTTTTACCAGCCCTCACACAAATAATCATTGATTTTTTAAAACATGATAAAGTTTAAGTTTGTATCGGAAAGGTTTTGGGATGAGAAAATATAGTTAGTACTTTTTCTGGATAAATAAAAGAGTTAACATCTTACAGCGATTATTATAAGAATCATGCAAGGTAGAGTAGTCCAATATTCTGGCAAGTCTAGCCACTGATTTACCAAATAGTCAACTATTAAGTTTTAAATGAGCTGTCATTATCATTTCAACACTTTTGTAATCATTTGTGATACCAGCCACTAAAATTCATATTTGTGTAATTTTCATCTGCTTTATTTGGTAGCGTTTTGTTTCACAATTCATACACACATGCGGTGATTTGTGAAGCATACCTTTATATCGAGTAATATTATCCGAGACAATTATACACTTCATTCCAACTTCCGCCAGTGTTTGTCATCAGTCTTGTATATATTTAAATTGGTTTGTATACATTATAACATGTACACAGTGTTCACAGTTTTTAGAGACGTGATGTTATGACTTAAACATTGCTTTCAATAAAATCGTCTGGAGGGTTCTGAAAAAAAATCATTGGTGTATAAGTGATATAGATAAAATATGTTTTATACATTTAAATACAAAATACAACAGGGGCGATTTCATTTTCAAATAACTTATGATCCACGATCCCTTGTCGACACATAGTCTTATTCGTTCGTCATAGTCTATTTTGCTAACTATTTAATATCTTAGTATGTGAAAAGTAGTTAATGTCAATTATTGATCTTCGAGTTTATGGCCACTTTCATGCTTTAAAACAGAAATTAGTACAAGAAAAAAGTACACGTAAAAAAAAAAAAAAACATCAATCAAACCTACAAATAATATTGATTTGATGTGAACTACGTGAAGACTAAGAGTTTTACTTGCAGGATACAACTTTTCCAGAGACTCCAGTTGTGGTGACACTTTAACGGCATATTCATGTTTAAATTGATCAATTTGACGTAAATAGCCATTTCACGTATAGTTTTTTTGCAAAACTAAATATGACTTTTGTGTCAAAACCCAAAACTTTAGTTAGCGCATGTTAACCTCATAAGACATCTTGTTGCAAAATATTTTTCTTAGAAAAGTTTTGGCTTATATCTAAATATCAATGACTATATTCAAAAAATGGTTTCATAAAAGTAGGAACTTTGAAGCCCTTAAGCACATGTGTAATAATTTAAATCAAATGTGACATAATAATGTCTTTTGACTAAATCGATATATATTATCCTTTGTGATTTTGGAATTCAAGGGACTAAAAGGTAGCCTTATGATATCTCCTTCTTTAACGGTCATTTTCGCTGTCGTCAGTTTGACGGAATCAGAATTCCCATTGCGATGGATGCATTTATATCAGGAGACGCTTACCATTTTGACGCACCCGGTCTTACGTGATTTTCTCAGTTTTTTTCTCTCTCGCATGGTTTGTTGTTTCCAAATAGATTTACGAGTTAAAACATCGGTAAACAGTCTCCTCATTGTCGTGCTGTAAACAACAGTCTCCTCATTGTCGTGCTGTAAACAACCGTCTCCTCATTGCCGTGCTGTAAACAACCGTCTCCTCATTTTCGTGCTATACACAAGTTATTATGATTATAATTTATTCATGCTACTATTTCTGATTTAAAAAAGATATAGGACAATTTAAGACTATTCTAATGAAAATGATACCCGAAGAAAATCAAAAACTAAAATTCATCTTTCATAGTTTACGATTGAGTAGACGTGTTAAGTTTAGGATCATAAACATACCTTTCAAAGGGTATTAAAATACACAATACATAAAAAGTTATTATTTACATCACATTTAGTAAAGTAACTTGTCTGATGTTTTATGTAGTACTAGTAATAGAACCATGAATATACCAACTTGATGGCCTTGGTCTGTTTTCTGCTCTTTTGGTCGGGTAGTTGTCTCTTTGACATATTCCCCGTTTCCATTCTCAATTCTATTGAACTAGATATGCACTATTACGGTGCATTTTATTGACACTAAGTCTTTAAGTATATACACCAAACTGGTTAACTACAGTACACCTGATAAGATCAACTCTAATATCGAACAATGTTATCTTCTCGTCAGTGGAGAATAAACTAATCAAAGATACAGGGTAAAAATGTGTACGCCAGACGCAAGTTTTGTCTACAAAAGACTCTTTATTGACGTTCGAATCAAAAAGTTAAAAAGGACAAATAAAATACGAAGTTGAAAAGCATTGAAGACTCAAAATTCCGAAAGGTTTTGCCAAATACAGCTTAAGTAGTCTATTCATGAGGATAGAAGATCCTTAGTCTTTTGAAAAATTCATAGTTTTGAAACAATTAATTTAAGAACGAGTGCAGCACATCACAATAAGCAAAGTATTTTAAGTTTATTGGAGTGACACTTTGTCACCTCACAGTATTCAATTCTAACATGCACCCACTGTGTATACATAGAATTGAGAATGGAAACGGGAAATGTGTCAAAGAGACAACAACCCGACCAAAGAGCAGAAAACAGCCCAAGGCCACCAATGTATATATAAATCTGTATTTCTACAATATATCCTTCCATTGAATTTCTAAGTTTGTGTATGAGGCAAAGCCACTTATATCATATTTATAGTATTCTGCAATTGTTTGCACCTGTCCTAAGTCAGGAATCTGATGTTCAGTAGTTGTCGTTTGTTGATTCGGTTCATAAGTGTTTCTCGTTTCTCGTTTTTTTTTATATAGATTAGACCGTTGGTTTTCCTGTTTGAATGGTTTTACACTAGTAATTTTTAGGGCCCTTTATAGCTTGCTGTGCGGTGTGAGCCAAGGCTCCGTGTTGAAGACCGTACTTTGACCTATAATGGTTTACTTTTATAAATTGTGACTTGGATTAAGAGTTGTCTCATTGGCACTCATACCACATCTTCTTATATCTATTCTGTTCGTGTCCGTAGCAACTATGATGTTTCTTTACTTTAAATGAAAGCACAGCACCAGTAAGATATGTTGCCATCCGGTATTCAGGAACCAACGGTCAATCTTTTTGGTTTATAAGATCTTTATTGTTTTAATAAGTTTTGGGTTTTCAAATATTTTGGCTTCGAGCATCACTGAAACGACATTTATTGTCGAAATGCCCATCTGGTGCAGAAAAATTGGTACCGTTAATATCATTAACTGTATATATTAATTTATATATCATATCTTCATCTTGAAATTTAAATGAAAGGATTAAAACTGAATAAAAAGCTTAAATTTTGTTTAACACCAAACATGTTTTTCTTGGAGTTGCAATATAAAGTCTGTGACATGTTTAGCCTGTAGTACAGTTGTTGCCATTGGTTCATGTTTATAATTGTGTTTTCGTAAATGGTATTGTTATAAAGTAGGCCGTTCATTGTCTGTTTGAATTGTTTCAGATTTTCATACCACATCTCCTTATTTTTATATCAACTCTTCTAAAGATAAATTTTATGTGATGAAGAAAAAAAATGTTAAATATTTTTTAATAATTTTAATTTTTAAATATGTATCAAACAAACAAAACTTTTAAAACATAGTACATGTAAATATATGTCTTACCTCATCTGATTTTGTGTCAGTTACAAGTTTAACACATGTTTCATCATTTGTTTTAACGACAGCACTGCAAATCGACAATTTTGGTCGAGACGCGTTATTATTACTTGATAACTGAATGTACATTGAACTTCTTGCTGTATCCGAACGACTCATTTTCCGCTGCCTATGAACTCCAAGCCGACTTTTAAGAAGAAGAATTACCTTAATATAAACAATTAAATAAAATTACTAAGTATAAGTATAAAATCTTGTGGAAACTTTAAATGTTGCAGTTCGTTAAAAATCATATAATCAAATCTTACAAAGATAAAATTATACTAATTGTAAAAGCATTTTATTCTGCTTGATAATATTATTTTTCATTTTTGGCCATTTAGCATATTGTCAGTTGATTGAAAGACTTGAAATGTGTTCTTCTTGATGGCGGAAGGTCGTGGATTCGACCCCTGGCCAGGATGAACCAAAATCTGGAAAATTGGTATTTGCACCTACTCCGATAAGCACGTAAGTTGAATAAGAAGTAAGAGCAAAGGACTGGTCGGCTCTGAATAATGTGTCCTGTTAGTGACTAAATCATTTGCCACTAACTTTAAACAACAATACATCCATCCACCCATTATCATTTTTGTGTTGTATAATTTTAACATAATTATGTGTGTTGTATAATTTTAACATAAAATGTGTGTTGTACAATTTTAACATACTATGTGTGTTGTACAATTTTAACATACTAGGTGTGTTGTACAATTTTAACATACTATGTGTGTTGTACAATTTTAACATACTATGTGTGTTGTACAATTTTAACATACTATGTGTGTTGTACAATTTTAACATACTATGTGTGTTGTACAATTTTAACATAATATGTGTGTTGTACAATTTTAATATACTATGTGTGTTGTACAATTTTAACATACTATGTGTGTTGTACAATTTTAATATACTATGTGTGTTGTACAATTTTAACATACTATGTGTGTTGTATAATTTTAATATACTATGTGTGTTGTACAATTTTAACATATACTATATGTGTTGTACAATTTTAACATTCTATGTGTGTACTATGTGTGTTGTACAATTTTAATATACTATGTGTGTTGTACAATTTTAACATACTATGTGTGTTGTACAATTTTAATATACTATGTGTGTTGTACAATTTTAACTATGTGTGTTGTACAATTTTAACATACTATGTGTGTTGTACAATTTTAATATACTATGTGTGTTGTACAATTTTAACATAATATGTGTGTTGTACAATTTTAACATACTATGTGTGTTGTACAATTTTAATATACTATGTGTGTTGTATAATTTTAACTATGTGTGTTGTACAATTTTAACATACTATGTGTGTTGTACAATTTTAACATACTATGTGTGTTGTACAACATACTAGAACTTTGTGTGTTTTGGTTTGAGCGTTTCTGATGAAGGTAAATCCAGAAAAACGCTTTAGAACACACGAAATTTATAAAGTGTTATTTTTATTTAAGCTTTTGGGTGACTATGATAAAATTGCTCATTATAATGGGCTTGAAATGATTCGGGACTATTGTTTTATGTTTTGACGTAGATGGAACTGCGGCCCAGAGACAAGGGTGGGGGGGGGGGGGGGGAGGGGGGGGGGGAACAACGATTCGTTTATGATGCAAGTTTCAGTCAAGTAATCGGCAAAGTCTATACAAGGCTTGTCGGTAGGTAAAATGGTCATGAAATCTCGACAAAACAGTCTGCTACTTCCTCTGGATCTAAGAAAGCTATCCCAAACACTCTTTTCAGCCATTTATCTGAATCTACCTCTTTGTATTGTTGACATAATTCAACTTTCTGAATTACTCGGATGTAAAATCAAATAAAATATATTTATTTTAAAAACTTACTCTTTTTTCTTATTTTTTAAAAATATTTTCTTAATTCATATAAAATATCAAATGAAATTTCGCTAAAATGTCCTTTTTGAAAAACCAGGTAAGATTAATATTCCGGCGCTTAAATGTCCTATGATGTCGGCGCTCAAATGACCCTATGTGCATTTTTTATTTTCGCTCAAATGTCCTATGCCCAATAAAAATATAATTTTTATTTAAATAAAAGACAAAATTGGTTGAAATTTTAACCAAATTATCATATCTATATCTCTGCTATTCCAATGAAAAAACGATTGCGTACATTGATATCCGAAACATCACTGCAAACACGCGCATGTGTAATCAATTTAGAAATGTCCACTCCATAAGAAGGACGTAACGGGACGTCATCACAAAGAAAAGGAAAATTTACAATAGGAAAGGAAAAGTCGTCACGATTCATATAAATATTCGTATGACGATTACCTTGAGTAATTTTAATTAGGTAAATAAAGAAAAAATTAAAGAGCAAACAATTTATTTTTTTAGCTCTTTTAATTTTTCACTTTATCAACCTGATTAAAAGAATTGTAGACTGCTATCCTTGGTTGTGAAGAAGCTTCCGTCCACGCTTTGTGAAATTCCATAAAGGTTTGACAAAGTTATTGATGTATAAAAAAATTAAAGCTATATGCTAGTGCAAAAATAAAATAAAAATTCCATTATCAGTTAAATACGGGAAAATGTAAAATAAATGTATTTTTCAACATTTTGCTCTATATGCTATCTTTTGATCACGAAGAAGTTTCTCTCAACGTTACATAAAATTTCACGAAGGGTTGACAAACTTATTAATGTCTATAAAAACTGAAACCAGAGACTGAACCTAAATGTCGCTCTGTCTATTTCCACACACAATTTTACTGTAAAAATTATGCATGTACCGTTCAGTAGGAAAAAAAATCAAGACATGCTAAATAATTGTTACGCATACTTGTTCAAAACAGATCAAATCTGCGTTGTGCGATGACTTTGAAATAAACAAATTATACAGATATATTAATTCGAAATGGATATCAGTCACTTACATTGTTCGTATCACATTTTGCAGTGGCCTTTGCTTATATGTAACATTTTTTTTTACATTTTGTCTATGAATTTCTAGATCACAAAAAGTATACGAGTTATGACTTATTGATACTGAAAATCCACTTTTTGTTTTCATGGTTATTTTTTAACTAATTGTTTTGACTCACGAAAAGTTCAAATTCGCTCCATGTGGCCCAAAACGAAGTTATATATGTATTAGCCAATATTTCGAAGATATACTTTATAAAAGGGTAACCCAGTTAACATCAATTGAAAAGTGGTTACATCGGAGCCTGCATGAAATTTAAATGGACGCCGAGGAAACTAAAAGATTCCATGGAAACCCAACTTGCATTTTTCTTCTAAGTAAAAACAATTAGTAAATACAGTATAAAAGACATTTCTTATTTCGGGGTTTTATCAAGATGTACAGGTGATGGTGTGTAGGGATTTTGTGTTTGTGTTGTGCTTTTTCAATGGCGAGCAGGGATTTTGTTTCACGAATTAATACACCATATCTCTTTTTTTCCACCACTTCGATTTTATTTTACTTAAACCTTTCTTGAAAATAAAATTCGAAATCTAATTCCTCGGAAGGTTATGATGTATATGATCTACAGAGGCGGCCTTTTTAATTTCTAACTACCACCAAATAAACATCGCCCAAAATAATATTTTGCACGTAAATAGATAAATATAATATGAGACACTTCCTATCTCAAAATATTTTGTTGCGAGGGTTGTGTTCCTACTTAATCGACTGTCATTTCATGGCTGTATAACAAATAAAAAAGACGATTTTTTACACCAAAATTAATGTATAAATTAAGTTCATATATTCAATAATTGATTTTTGAAAATCAGAAGCGGTTTGAAGTTCTTTTGATTGTATTTACCAATTATGCCCCAAATCATGCTAACTCTTTTGGGCCAATCTGACCCAATTGACCATTCATTGGACATCGGGACCAAAGTAACACATCTCTAAGTATATACCGATAAAACTTTGTTAATTTTAGAGTATGTGCATTGATTTTGCGCATAAATTGGTACACAATATCCCCTCTTTTCCATTGCATAGGTTTTTTTTTTTTACAAATTTAACCAATTGTTATCAAATATTGACGTTTCGACTGACAATTGGAAATCACAACCTTGAAGTATATCTATATAAAATCATCAACAATACTATTTAGAAATATATGACTTCCATAAAAAACTAAATGATGAGCCTCACTATAGAACGCGGGTCCGGAGGTTCAACATATCGCAAACAACGCTTAGTCGCAAACACTTTTCCCCTAATGTTGACCTTAATAAAATAAATCTAGTGAACGATCATAAATGTTCCTGTGGTCTTCCTGTTGAAGATGCTATTTATTTCCAACTTCAATCCTACTGAGAATATTTTTATAAAGTTCGTTGTTTCGTTAAGCAGTTTAAAAGATTGATATTCCAAGTCAACAGTTTTGTTTGATTTTATTGTTGTTCTTGGAAAGATAAGTGGAAAGATTGAATATGATGTAGATTGTGTGAAAGCTGACTTTGCATTGAATGTCCTTTCGAATTTCAAATTTCCGTATTTTTAAAAATAATTTCAATTAAGCTTCTTTTTGTAATTTTATTGAGGTGTAAATGCGTTGACCGAATCACATTTTGTATGAAGCGCAAAAGCTTTCCATACTAAAAATGTGCACATGATCACCGCTTTCAATTCTTTTGAATTCATTTTATGCTAGAACCGTGAGATTACGGAATAACATCTCATTTTTATCGATTGTTTCCCTATGCATGGTTGTGACTTTGTCACGGGGAGCACGTGCGATCGGAAATGTAAAATTTTATTAAGAAGTATAATCTTATTTTGGAATGCCTATAGATTGTTGTCAGCCAATAATATTACATATTCTTATGAAACATACAAGTAATGTTATTGTTGAACTATGTTAAATGGACTTACCTCACCATTAAAGAAACAGAACAAGAGCGAAACAAAAAATCCCTGTAACACACAAAAAAACAATATATTCAGTATTATATCTATTGGATTTATTCATAACATGTCTGAATTCGTGGAATTCATTAAACAAAACTGTCATACGGTATGGGTGCTACTCCATCAATAAAAGCTGTATGCTGTGCTCTAAACCGTAAACGTTTGTTTTGTGTTTGTTTCTGATCATATCAATGACTCTGTGTGATGAGGAAAGCATGAACACTTTACTTAGTAATTTTCACTTTCCAATTTTTTGTTTGGATTTTATCTGGGTAAGAGTTTGAATAAAAATATTTACACGTTTGCTTTCTGTCTTCCAAAAAGGAATTTACAAATGCATGGCAATACTTCCATTTTCCATGCACACAATCCTTAAAAACTATAAAACAACGATATCTCATCAACAACGCATTACAACGTACCTCAATGAAAAAAGTTTCTCCAAAAACCTAACAAGAACTTCAAATAACAACTGCAGAAGCGGGTCCAAAAGGGGGTGGGGGGTTCCCCCCTTTTTTTGGACGATCAATGCATTTGAATGGGGACATATGGTTGGAACCCCCCTTTTAAAAATGGCTGGATTCGCCCCTGAACTGCTGTCAACATGTTCTCAAATGAAAATAGAATTATCACAGGAGTAATACCACCAATAAATGATCAAATATTCATCTCATCTGCATACAAACAGTTGAATATGATACAAAAGATGACTCTAAGATGATGAAAACCACTATTATTCAGGAAAAAAAGGGGTGAAAATTTGATTGGTTTACTGCCGGTGATGGTTATTATCTTATATGCAATGAAATGTTATGTGAAATTTTCACTGTAGTACTGGACAGGATAAAACTTTACTCATGCCAAGTGTTTCTTTATTCGAAACAAAGATAAATTCTGCACAATCTTTTGAAAATTGCCAATATAACAAAGACTAATAGGGGAAAAACAATGGTGGTATTACACCTACACCTTGAAAAATTGATTTCATATATATTACTTCAGTTATGAAAATTGCATACCGTCTTAAACTAAACGTAGTACTGTCTCGTTGGCGTTTACCTCACATCTGGTTTATTCATATATAATATTCAAAACACTTTCCCATGACTTTTTATTTGTTTTATTCTCGCAAAAAGCATTTTTATATTGACCCATAAAGAAGTTATTTATCATATCAGATTAAGTAAAGTACACTCAATGTCAATAAGTTATACTAGTGTTTCAGTAAGTTGTATAGACATTTTTTTACTCAGGTAAATTACTAATAATCAATGAGTGATGAATTTCTCGTAGAAGAAATTTAAATGTCTCAGTGAATAAACTACACAGAGAACAATAGCTATTGTATTTATTCAATGGGACAATAGAACTCATAAAAGTTTAAATAGATTGACCAATAGGAGATGACTCTGTGGAAAAGTTTCATTTGGTTCGCAATAAATTCTAAGATGACTGGACACATTGCAAAATATCTGGGATAACTGAACACATGTTTAAATATATCAGTGATAACTGAAGACATTATGAAATATCAGCGACAACTAGACACATTATGAAATATCAGATATCATTGATAACTGGACTCACTATATAATATCAGTAATATCTGGACACTTATAGAATATCAACATTTTAGAACTTACCTGGAATGAAACAAGAATCGCTGACAATAAATTGTAAGCATAAAGAAAATCTTCGTGACCTACAGGTCTAAATGGAATTGCAACAAATTGGATTCCCAATAGTGGAATTAATATAAGTGTTGCCCTAAGGGTATGTCTGTAAATAACAAAATTAAAATAATTACCATTTCTAGTTCAAATTGTGTGCATGTTTATTTTTTAATATTTATTACGAATCTATAACGTATTATCGACAAATAATATTGATCGCTAGCTAGTTTGTTGTCGAAGTTTACTGGATCTTGACATTGATAAACAATCAACACAGAGCATGTCAAACACGTGGCAAATAGTCAATTGATACAGCCATGATAATTTTTTAATATTTTCAATGTGTTTAAATTTGTTAGTTAAACTATTCCCAAACAGTTGTTAAATGATTTGTTGTATTTTTGTACTTTAAGAATCAATTATTACTATTTACCTTTCAATAAACGTTTGTAAACATTCGTTCACCACGGTGTCCCCCCTCGCACTTGTGCTGTGCGGTTGCTGAAGTTCTAACGAGAGGTCTCGTAGTTAAGGTCACTGCATACGGGAAAATATCGGCGAGTTAGTGTACGGGAAGACAATAATTCAATAGCAGTACATTTATGAAGATTTTGATAATACAAAGGATTTTCTTTTACAAGAAAGTTCACGTACACTTGTTTTTTTAGTAAAAATTAATCATTCAAATATATAAAACATATTCAACTCTTTTTTTTTTTTTAGATTTGAAGTTTCATATGACTTTTAAATATTTTTTAACCTTTGCAATATATATATCCCTAACTGTCATAATGTTATGACAGAATGTATTATTTCGTTTGGAAAAAATAAGACACTGACAGAAGCCATTTTAGTGTAGAAAGATTTATCTTTCTTTATAATGATTTATCATTTGTTTTGTACTATATTTTTTTTTTTTCAGTTTCAGTGCATATGTCTTGACAATTGTATGAATTTTTACTGTTTGTATAGACTTGTCATATCTATCCATCCTTCCACAGAGTGCAGATAGCTTTTCAGAAATATATTGTAGGTTGTATTGAAAACATGTTGAATTTCCATTATGAAACAATTATTCATTCTTTATATTTTAAAACGCAGTACCATTTACATTAAAAAAAACTTTATAGTCTTAATGATTAGATTTGTAAGACCGATTCTTATACTGATTTTATTACATATTTAAGAATTGTTGTGCTTATGACAGAGATCGTATAGGCATAACTTGATTAATTTCTGTTATATGAACTTATTTTGAATACATACCTAAGTGGATTTGACTGTCTCATTGAGCTCACTTTTGTGCATAGAATACGTAAAATATTCACCAGGAAAAACGTATTTAACTGAAATAGTTAAATATTTACTATAAAAAAAATAGTTGATATACATACACATGTATATATATTTACATATTACTATATATGTCTAAATTGAAAACAACGTTCAAACCTATGATTGCGTTGGATAAAAACCGCTATTTTTATACGTGTGCATGCAAAACAAATTTCTTGGTAGAGGGGTCTTAATACAGCACAAACAACATTTTCCAAGAGACCAAAAAAGTGAAAAAGTATATTTAAACAAAACGCATTTGACTAACAGGTCGAACAACGGATGTTCTTAAACCCTGCTGACTGCCATTGGCGATTGCCAAATAAACGGATCACAAGATGTAACAAAATGGATCTTTATTATTATATATTTACATATTACTCTATCTAGCTATATAGTTAGATTGATTATTTCAAATTTGACAAAGTCGCCTGACTAAGCTTAACAATCACAGGACTGTAGCACATCAATCAATATTACAATCAAAGGAATGTAGTGCAGCAATCACCTGACTAAGCGTTACACTCAAAGGACTGTAGCGCATCAATCGCCTGACTAAGCGTTACAATCAAAGGAATGTAGTGCATCAATCACCTGACTAAACATAACAATCACAGGACCTTAGCGTAACAATCGCCAAACTAATCGTAAGAATTACAGGACTGTACATAGCGCAACAATCGCCGCACTTAACGTAACACACGGAACTAATTCCCGAGTAAACTTGTACACAAAATTGGCACTTTTTCTCTTTCTCCTATACTTTTTCCAAAAATGAAAAACAGTAAAAGTCGTCCTTAAGGGCATTAACATCTTATTATATAAGGGGTCATCTGTCAATTTCGGCTATGAATACCTATTTTTAGATCTTGTCTTGCTGATAATTTTTGCATTTTTGCCATCTATCTATGATTGTTTTCAAGATAATAGGCAAAAACGCAACAAATTGGTACAAACTGTCATAAAAGAGCAATAACTACAATAAGTAATTGACTGACAATGTCAGGACATTTTTTGCTGTTTGCACTTTGTCTTTATGGTAAAAAAAATCATCACTAAAAAGCAATAACTCTTATAAAGAGTTGACTGACAATTTCTGCCATCTTGACATATTTCTAGATCTTGTCCTGCTGATCAGGTTTTGCATTTTTGGTATTTAAAGTGCCTATCAAATCGTCATAAAAAGGCAATTACTCCAATAAGTGTTCCACCGAAAATTTGGCTATGTTGATTTATAAGTAGAACTTTATTAAATTTTCGCTACATTAATTATAATTTTCAAGACAATAGGCAAAACTTGAATTATACCCTTATGTAATATTTTTAGACATGTCGGCTATGTTGGTTGGCAGGCGGGATCATCGGGCACTTATTTTAAACTAGTTGAAAGGTAACGGACGACGGACGACATGTTTTATTTTAATTTTAATTTATGCTTGCTGTCTCAATTACCGTGCCATTCTGAAACCTTGACTTACATTCATACAGAACAACAAGTTATAAATCGCCCACAGTAAGGAAAAGTTGTGAATAATAACGCCTTTTTTTACATATAGTTATGCAATTTTGACATTTCATTAGAATAAATTATGCCTAGGTTCAAACAATGAGAAAAACGAAGTTGCGGTCTCCAAAAAATACCGGAAAGGTGTCTTATGAATGGCTAGATATACTTAGCATCATACAGCAATCGAATATGCAGCTTACATACTACGAATCGTTTTTTACTTTTACATTATATTCGGTTTTTGTGTACCAGTTTCATCGATTATACCATGATAACTGTACTTACTGCCAGCCATAAAGCAATAGGTCCTAAGAAAATCCACTGCAGATTCGTTTGACCATGCCAACATCTAAAAACAATATTATACAAACATTAATATGTGTTAATATCTCACATTTTTATATTAAATTTCAATACATACCATTATTTTTTAACAAAAAAAAAAACAATGGCGATTTACGGAGGCAATTATTTTCTGAAAACTCTCTGCAATTGTTTTGCTTCTACGTTGTTATGGATCTATTTAAAATCAGTTGATTCCATAATTTTGTTTCAGTCTGTTATTATAAGATTTTCTGATAGAAATTTTTTATATATACTTACTATAGTTTGGATATTGAAACGTGTTAAAATTAATGCCAAATGTTCTTATTATTTTCTCGTCTATCCCCACTTAAAATACCCTCTCTAAGTCAAATATTAACTGGCGCTCACCCGGGTCTGGCAACTTTACTTAGCCCACCTTTTTCATCTAATATTGTTTACTTTGTTCTTGTAAAAATACCTGAAAAATTGCCACTTAACATTAAAGTCAAAAGAAAAGAGTTTCTTGCAATTATAATGTTAACGAAAGTATTGAACCAATGCATGCATATATACTAAACTAAGTGTGTATGCACGTTTTTGACATTTATTACGAATCTTTAACTTACTACCGACAAACTAATTACTTTCAAGTTTCTTGCCGAAGTTTACCGGATCGTGACATTGATAAACAATCAAACCAGGAGCATTTATTGCACGTGAAAAATAAGTGAATTGATATAGTCATGACATTTTTGTTTATATTTTCCATGCGTTCTTATTTGTTAATTACATTTAACTCCTACATTTTTAAGGATTTTTCTAATTATACTTGTTTTAATTACAGGGTTCTACTCATTTGGGATGGATGTAAAAGTACGCAGTCACGTTCAATTATTTTTCTTATCATTATCAAACTGCTATTTATTTGGGGTGTTTACATACGCAGCCTCTGTTTTAATTACTCTACTGTTGTCAAATTTGAAATATTATACAAGCTTAGATCGGTCAGTGCTGTTTATTGGGAATGTATTTCCACGCAGTTGTTGTAACATCTTAACTGTCGTCACCTTTGGACTTTTAAAGTTGTGCAAGCTCATATCGCAAATTATTACTATTTTTATTTTAGATATGTCGTTGCGCCGTGTTTGGAAATTTTAGAATTGTACTAGTTAGCGTCTCTATGGTGTTCTGGTAAAACTGTTTTTTTTTGTATAGAATTCAAGATTGCTATAGTTTTATAATCAGAATAGGTTGATAAGATTCATTTTACATCATGATCATACTGATGAAGGATATCTGTTATCCGAAATATTTATAGTTACATTTGTTCATTTTATTGTTATTTTTTGGTGATGTTGTACCCTTTTAGACTGGTTATATATTATATTTTGTAGTGTACTGTATCATAATTATATGATCCATCGCCCCGTAAGATTTATCGTTGGCTATTATTCGGTAATTTTATATATACATATATATATATGCACCTTTTGTTTGCGATATATCATCTTTTCCGCAAGTTTATTGTTTTCTGTTTAGTATTAAATTGATAATTAAGATCCATTTGATACATCGGTGATCCGTTTATTTGGCACTCGCCAATGGTAGTCAGCAGGGTTTAAGAACATTTGTTGTTCGACCTGTTAGTCAAATGCGTTTTGTTAAAATATACTTTTTCACATTTTTGGTCTTTTGGAAAATGTTGTTTGTGCTGTATTTAGACCCCTCTAACAAGAAATTTGTTTTGCATGCACACGTATAAAAATTGTGGTTTTTATCCAACGCAATCATAGGTTTGAACGTTGTTTACAATTTAGACTTGTATATATACAACAATATATATATATATATATATATATATAAAGGATTTTTCTAGATTTATCGCGTAGTATGTATGGCTTTTCAAGATGATTGGAAATAAAACTTACAACTTATTAATTTCTGATGATGTGACACGTATTACAAAGTAGATAACTGTCTGTATCATTGGAAAAACTAAAAAAGAATCAATAATGATATAAAACATCAATACAAGAAATTTTTGAACGATCAAACGAATAAATGCCAAGGGAATACTGGTTGGTATATGACAGCTTGGTCGTATTCACCATCTTCGAATCTGTAATAAAAGAATTTCGGCGAAAAGTCTTAGGGAATATAGTTCGAAAAGATCACATTGTTTTTTTACGACTAAACTGGTCGTTGAATATTGTTTTAATGGTATAAATATTGAATTTGTTATCATTAGATTAAAACCAAATCAAAATTATTGGATATACATATACACATTCACGGTTCTACAATCTGTCGATACCTGTATCTTGACATTGCACAAGATCATGTTTTTCTCTGACTGTTAATGACGTCTTTACACTAAATCTATTAGGTGGTGGGTGTGTACTGATATTTAAGTCTTAGATACATAATTTTTTGCATTAGTTTTTATTGGCTTTAACTAGTTGTCAGTAAATGTGAGTATTCTCAGATCTGTACTGGGTGCCTTTTTAATGTGGGTATGTACAAATACCCTGCCACGTCCGGTCTATGGTTTTGTTACTTGTTTTTCTGCTTTATATCGATCTGATGAGTTAAGGATGGTCGCTACTCTGTTTTAAAATATCAAGCCGTTATAAATTGATAGTATATAAATAACGGAACTAATGAAGCAGAAAAAAATGAAGGGTCTGTGTCTTGGTTCCGAGATATAAGCCATTGAAAATTTGGCGGGAAATGATTCTCTCTAGATTTTTCATACATTTAACATTTTTTTCATTCAAAAACTATGAAAAAATAACAACGAGTTTATAAGATTTTCAAATATGGTTTTTTAAACTATATATAATAAAATTATGAAAAAAAGTAGGAGTTATCGGGCCAATTTTTTAATGGCACTACAAAGAAAAAACAAGAGGATTCCGAATATCTGACAAAAAGTTAAAAACAAGAGGAGCGAACATCCTTAAGCCCTTAACAAATGATTTTTATAGTTTGTTCTTATATATTATTATATGTTGTACTGTTACACCACTGTCCCAGGTTATGGGTAGGGTTTGGCGCCAGCAAACTAGTTCAACCACGCCAAATTCTGTATGTGCCTGTCCCAAGTGAGGAGCCTGTAGTTCAGGGGTTGTCGTTTGTTCATGTCGGTCATATTTGTTTTTCGTAAATTTTTTGGTTATAAATTAAGCCGTTAGTTTTCTCAATTGAATTATTTCATATTTTTCATGTCGCGGTCTTTAATAGCCGACTATACAGTATGTGTTTTTCTCATTGTTGAAGGCCGAACGGTTGCCTATAATTGATTACATCCACTGCATTTGAACTGTGGTGGATAGTTGTCTCATTGGCAATCGTACAACATCTCCTTATTTTATATTGATGACTTAAACATTTCGACCCCAAGAGTTGACAGGGTAAAGAAATATCATCCCTGGACTTCTCCAATCCAGTAGTAAACCAAATTCTAAATGGGGCGCGTGTTTGGCTGTGAGGGATGTATAAATACCCAACCACGTACGGTAGGAGTGTTGGATGGCATAATGAGAGTGTTATGATCTCTGTTGGTTGAAGAATATAAAGGATTTTTCTAGATTTATCGCTACAACTATATGACGGTCCACAAGTTGACAAGTTGCAAGAGATCTTTTTTACATTTTGATGGATAAAAGATTTTTTCAAGTGTCAGTATAATAAAAATATCGAATCATAGACACACTGTTTTTTTTAAATTTTATTTACTGCCTTGCCAAACTATATGCTAGCACGTCAAAACAAGTATCTTTTGCGTAAAACCTCGTGCATTTTTCTTTTCTAGTACATGTATCATCTAGCCAAAGGTTAGTGAATAACTTTTGAATAAGAATTCCAATCGATTGGTATCAATACTTGTTTTCCCACCAATTCTGAAGTGATTAAGTTTAAGAGATAGAGAGATGGGTACCGATCAGATTTAACACGGATTACACGGGGTATGCGCTATTGTTTATATAGAGTAATTCAAAATCCACATGGCGTACAACAGAATGCACGTTCTCAAAACGTCTCAAATGGATGAACTGAGGACGTCTTTAGATCGTGCCATCATTACATGGAAATTGTATCAACATTTACTAGACTCTTTGATGCAAGAACACATCACACATATACATATAAAAGCTTCCCATATTTAACAATAGACCAGGATTGTCTTCTTAAAAGGGGCATTAGCTACGATTAAGACAAAGCATTTCGTTTTAAGCAGTCAGTTTGGCCCAAATTTGTCAAAATAAGCTCAAAACCATCGATGATGTATTATTCACTTGCAAATGAATAATTTGACTCATTGAATCCGTATTCATGTGATCTTCAATTTAACCCATATGCTAGAGATGGGTTACCCATGAACTAGGCGTGTCAAACAGACATAGAAAACTCTAATTGCACGTATTCGGTTATGTATTTATATCTATATTTATGTTTATATCGGGTTTTATGACCGTCGGCAGTCTTCGGAGATCACCTCGCTGGTTAAATAGATTGCGTCTAGATTAAAATACACACAAAATGCTGATACATATAATCGAGTCAATGCATTGTTAACCGTTTATTTAAGACTTTTTATAATTTGGATACACGTGTTAGTATGTTATAAATCAAATATGAGAACATGAATTTGACAGCTAATGCCCCTTTAAAACTGGAATAAAAAATGCATGATACAACATTTTATTTTACTTTTTTCAGGAGATCTGCATTTTGATTTTATATAAAAGCAAGAACACTTCTTTGAAGCTGAATGACAAGGGTTAGTAGTTCCACTATTATTGTCGTTAAAACACATGTAAGAATACAAAAGCATTAAAAGAAGGACTAAAAGAAACGAATATTATAAAAACAAAAAAGTTGTGTGATGCTGCATAACGTCCGGCGGATATATTACACATTTGTTATGGACGATTGCATGTAAATATGTTATGAATATGACCTGTTTTTACAAGATCGATACGATGAGTCAGATTTTAAACGTATCTGCTGAATTCAAGAATAGACAGTCGGTATTTATAATTGTTTGCAGTATTTTTTCATGAAACCAATCCAAATGAAATTACCTTCGCAAAACCTCAGACAAGGGAATAGTCTATGTATTGTGGTTCTACATCTCGAATTCACAGTGAGGACTGTAAGACGGAGCAAAATTTTAAAATTTGAAAGTTCAATACAACAAGCACCGGTTTGAGTGTATTTAAGCAAGCATAAAGTAAACAAATGACAAAATACGAAGAGACAAAGAAGTCAAACTAATATTTCATAATTTTCCTGCCAGATTTATTGTACAATACAAATTATCTTACCTCCTATACATTTCTAGAAATATGATTGGTTAAAAGCGTCCGCGTGGAGACCGTGTATATTCCATATTAGGTTAGTAGGGAGGCGGGGCTTATTTCATACACGGTTAGTAGTGGTGTTACGTCCCTTTATAAAAACAAAACGGCACTGCGAACAATCTTAAAGGTTTCAACAGACGAAGAAATTGATGATGAAGATTGAAATAAATTCACAAAACACATTTAAACCTAACAAGTTGTTATTGTTGGCATCTGTTTTTGTAGGATCAATGGAAGTAGTTTCTTAATGCTAACGGTATTGAAGACTTGCTCATTTTGATAGGTCACTAGTCTAAATTTCACACGTTAAGATAATCGGTAAGATAAATTCGTTACATAGTGTGCTAGTAAGTACCCACTGAAATGTTCTTACAATAAAGTTGAAGTCATTAAGTTTAATTGGGCCATTCACTGAATATTTAGGAATTTTTGTGTTTTATTTATACGGATATGCATTATTTGTCATAGCCGCCCAGAAGATCATTGAGGGTTCAAGTTCCTCAATCTATCTTTATGTGCTCGCTCATTTTTACATGTATCTTTTTCTTTTGGCCATAATGATGAATGTCCTTTAATATTATTTTTAATTACTACTGTTGGTATCACCTTTTATTTTCTTTTTTATCTGAACGACAGAAATCCTCAAACAATTTTTTGGCTATGGTTTTTCATTTTACTATAAAGGTCAACAATTTGTAATAATACTACAAATTTATAGAATGGCATTCTTTTCCTGTGTATTCACTGATTGAGATTCAAAGGAGGTTGGTGGATGAGTTACAATCTTAGCAAGTTTAACCTCACAAGATTTTCATGTGGCTCTTTCACATTAAGAACAACGTCAGTTGTTTTCTTATATTTTGTCTTATTGCTTTGGAATGCAGGGAATTTGGTAAACAGTCCATTTTTAAAATTTTGACAAATCGAAGGGAATGTCACTTTTGAATATTTGCAGCCGTCGCAATGGCATATAAATGCATTTATTTGTTTTGTTAATTGAACACTTGTGTACTTGTCTATGTAAACATAATTATCTTGATAGGTTGACATTAAACAAACTGATTTTAATCTGAACTTGCTATTGACGACAAGACACTAAAATGTGTTGATAAATCAAAAGTATCTGCCTTTTCTCTCTCTCACCCATTAGAAATAAAGGTATGTGTTAAATCGGTGTATAGCTGTTTGTTTTCAAATACTTTGACGTCGTTCCAATTTTAGTGAACTGTTAACATATTTGTGCTAATCTTAGATTTCAATTCGTTTGGTTTTATCAAAGCTACAGACGTATTGTGCCTTATAGAGTAGTCACTTTTACCCACGTAGTAATTGGAAATTAATATCTATTACAAATGGTTTATCCTTACAAAAAGACAATGCGTGGATTTATAACTTCCTATTTTACCTACCCCATCCAGTTATAATGCACAGGATGAGCACATGTTTCTCGTTGATAAATGCTAGGATCAAAACAGTATGAAGATAAAGCCCTTCACAAAACATCCAAGCATAATTTGATGAAGTCGCATACTGAGCAAGTATATGTAAGAGTCTGCACCAAATCTGAAAGAATAAAAACACTGCATGTACATACAATTCTATTCGTCGAATTGAAAGTAAAACATTTCTCAGTCAAAAGGGTTGCTACAAAGAGTCAATAGTTGTAATTATCATCACGGACTAAAAACGCCGTACAATTGATCCGGACGTTGCTGCGTATCGAAGCGAGGTTAATAAAAACAAGGTCAAACAACATTCTTTCAAAGACGAATTGCCGTAAAAGTATGCATATACTGCTTATAGAACAAAGGTTGACGTAATTCTTGACATTATTTACATTATTTAAACATCTATTAAGCATTTTAAACAACATAAAATCGCATTACGGACGGTCACATTTAGTTTTCGAGTACTAGTACACCTACCACGTTTTTTTTATTGTTTAATCTAGTTTGTTTTGCATATATTCTTAGTTTCTCGATGGTAATCAGTAATGTATACATTTGTTAATGATATATAGTTACAACGAATGACAAACTCGTTGTTTTATTTCAGTTATACTTTAGACTGATATTCGAATTTCATTACTGTACCGTTCGTTGTCTTCATATCGTGATTGATATGTACAGTTCGTTGAAAATTCGTGTACTGGTTGTTGTGCGTTTTGACTATTCAAAGTAGATTAAACGATCATTAATAAAGTAGGAATGTATAATACTACGTGACAAATTCTTAAATCATATGTAAATGAAGTACTTTAAATTGTCATTGAAAATTCGTCCCAAAAATATTATGATAATTTATTCATGGCATAACTTTTCGAAGGTCTTTTTATATGATTGATTGATTCACTGAAACTCCACATTTGGTCAAAAGTGTTCGGTAATTTATTAGGATGTTTCGATGGCAAGGCTGTATTTCAAAAAAATTCTTTTTCTAAGAATAGAGTAACCAGAAAGTCTAGACTTACAATAAGGAAGAAAGAAAAAGTTCGAATCATCATTTATCTATGACATGACATTCTTCAATTTTTCACAAAGAAAACATAGGTTTATGATAAATCGACCGTTCTTATGCATATTTAATTCTGAATAACAAAACACAGAGCCCTAGTTAAGTTTTTTTTCTTAACATTTTCTTAATATTTGCTATTTACTAGGCGTGTTAATTCATTTTGAATCTTACATATGATCTGAAGATGTCCAATCCCTTGAAGTTTTTTTTTAATCTTATGTTAAGGGCCAAGGTAAAGGCTAATATGCCTTGATGTTACGATCGTGTTTTGAGCTATTAAATTTCTTCGAGGGACGATCGATATACATTAATATTTCTTGAAATAACCCCTTTATTGTATAGCAGAACTTTAAAATGATGCATTTGAGTTCTGTCTCTGATGTCATAATTTGAATCGACATTGCACCAGTGAAAATCAGTTTAAATTGAACGCTAACTTTAAATATGCGAGATTAAAAAAACTGAAAGATATGCATTTCAAAACAGACAGCATATATGTTCTTATCGGTTAAACCAAAAGGCGCAACTAGCATACAGATAAAATTCGGCGAACGGTACAGTAAACAACTTGAAAAGATGGCTGTTTCAGAAAAAATATAGCTATTACAATGAAATGGCTTATGGGATATATTCTGCAGAAAATACGCTTGCAATACGTACACCAGTTTTGTGCATTTGGTTTGTCAACATACCTAATCGACATAACCAATGTATCTCGGCCTATTGCATTGAAGCATGATGGAGGGAAGCATAGACTGCATGAATTTGTGGCTCGTTGAATACACATAATTTGTTGGAATAGATGCTATCTTAAAATTGACCCAATCTGCTGTTTGAATTCTTTACATATTTTGTTATGAAATTCGGGATGATTTTATTGACAGCAACCTTTTAAAGGAATAATTAATCGAGTTACCCGTTATCAAATGTATCGATCATTGATTTTGGATGGCGTCACTTTTACCGTTCTAGAGTTATGCCCCTTTACAAATGGAAAAATTGCTGAATTTTTCGTTTCCGATCTGTAACTTACGTTTGCCTCAACCAAATGTTATGAAACTTATACACAATGCTTATTTCCACAAAACACAGGTCAAGTTTGAATTTGTTTGGCGTCGCTTTTACCGTTCTAAAGTTATGCCCCTTTACAATGGAAAAATTGCTGAATTTTTCGTTTCCGTTCTCTAACTTAAGTTTACCTCAACCAAATGTTATGAAACTTATACACAATGCTTATTACCACAAAACTCAGATCAAGTTCGAATTTCGGTGGCGTCACTTTTATCGTTCTTGAGTTATGTCCCTTTATAACGTTATATGCAAGCGGGGCATCATCTGTGTCCCATTGACACATTCTCCATTTATTTTAGAATACTTCTATAAATTCATTTCGAGATAATTTGTCAGAGTTAGTAATTCAGATCTCTGATGCATCTATCTGATAGTACTTTCTGGTCTGTGCGTAGGTCCGTTCGTCCGTCCCGTTCCAAATATAAAACTTTTAAAATTAATTACCCAATAGAGTTTGACCCGGATTAAGTGATTCACTGGACATGGAAATGTGATAATGTGACCATACACGCGGTCTTAAGGCCACATATTCTTGTTTCGAAGGTTTTGAATATACGCAGAAATGTATCTGTATCTTTCATATTCAGAACCGCCTCTTTGGTCTTGTGGTAGCGTGCTCGCCTCGACAGTAGCGTTACTTGAATTTTATTTCTAGTAAGGCAAATGATTGGCTGTCGAAGCCTCAACTTGGTTAAAAGACCGCAGTGCTAGTAGGGAGTAGACGGTTAATGGCAAATCAGAATAGTTTTCATTTACAAATGGAAAAAAATTGAATGCTAACAGCGGCCACGTTTGATTGATTGATTGGTTGATTGTTGTGCCTGAATCAAGTGACAAAAACTGCATGCATATTCAGGACAAGTAAAACAAAAAATAATCCAATAGATATGTAGACTGGGTCGACCAGGATAACAGCATTAATTTCAACTGCAACTTGAAAAAGAGAACATGTTAGACAGGGGCAAACATTTTGTCTTGCAAAAGGCCCCATATGACTCCATGTTTCATGGGTTCTGTAACGTGTAGAGCTAATGATTGCACTTTCCCTAAATTTGATTGAACGTCCCCATTCCGACTGGACGTGGCTGTGTATTTATACATCCCGGACAATCAAACGGACGACCCTTTTATGCATGGGTTACACTGTTGAAAAAAGGTCTTGTATAGAGCACATACTGGCACATCTCGCAATTCCAAACGAACCTCCCCTACCCCAATGTGGGGGTTAAGGTGACCATACTTTTGATTGGTCACAGACTGACACACAGATCTTGTCTATGAAAAGTCCAGATTTGTGGAATTTTATCATGAAATAATATTTTCCAATGCGCATTAAATCCCCAAATTTCAATGAAACTGCGGGTTAAAAGTTTAATTCAGTATTCAATTACAGACAGGTCATGGTCAAAACAAAAATAACACACAGAATTAGTATTACCTCCTTTTAAATGCTTTTGTACAGATTTTATGATATTTAAGTTTAAGATCTACTATGTCTTTTAACTTTATACGTCAGTTTAGGGGCTTTATAACTGGGTGAGCTATGTAGTCTTGGTTATCTTAATCAAGGTACATGTCAGTAGATAGAGTACCACAGTTTGTCCCATGGGAATGCGCATTGTTAAGAAAAAATTGAGCATCATGTCAGTTTCACACTTGTTAGCTCTTTTTTTAATCAGTTTTTTTACAAGGTTTACTTTTTCTGTGCCTTAAAAATGATACATTATCTACCTTTTTCGATAATTCAATAGCAGTACAGTTAGAAAGATTTTGATAATATGATTTCGACATTCTGAAATTATCAGAAAAATGTTATTGTAAAAATGTTTTCCCATAGAAAATATGAATAAAGAGATAGATTGATAACGAAAGAAAGAAAGAAAGAACATCGGATAAAGAAAAAAAATAAGCAAGTAAAATATACAATAATGGAGTGTTCATTTGCAAAGTATATTGAAAAATAATTGTCATTATCAAAACCATTAAAGATTACTCAAATCGATCATGATAGGTAAATGATACGTGTGTTAATACGTGATCTTATGTCAGTGAAAATTAAGGCAGGTATCTATAGAGAACCACGTGATAAATGAAAATGCATGATTTCTATAATTTTTCATCATGTTAAAATTATTTGATACGGACGAAAATTCCAGTGTATGATGTTAAATGTCTTGGACTACTTTGTTTAAACTTGAGATAATTCAACGGTTGGCAATAAACAGTCCCAGTAGGTCCGTGCTTCGAAAGTTACGCACGTATGTCATTTTATTGGAAATCTCTGTTACAACGTGTACGATACATTTTTGTTTATGAAATATGTACATTAATAAACACATTTTCAATATTAAATATTGACTCCCTCAACTTCTTTTTGTTTTGTCGCTTCAGAACACAGAACCTTAGAAATGAATCCCTCTTTAAATTAACGTTTACCAAAACCGCTGTCTTGATAACAGTAGTGGTACTTTCATAGAATATATCTCAACTTCCAATTTTATTAGCAAAATAACCTACCAACTGGATTTTTATTTCGTTTTCATTACCTTATGGGTATTAATTGTACGACCATACTATCAGATTTATGTTGTATATGAAAAAAAAACATCTTACTAACTTTTTTAATTTCACGTTCATTTAAATTTACAATAAGTATTTAGGATATACTGGCTCTCATTAACCCACATTTCAACTAATGCCCGCATCTCATATATTCCAATGAAATTGATATTTAGGCTCCTATCGCAAAACTGCTTACGCAGGGTTACAAGAAAGAAACGACAAAAATGGACATGCCTACACAAGTTTCGAATCACGATAACGAAGTGGTTTACCGATACTAAGTAATTATGTCCCAACTCAAGCGAGAGACTTTTTCATGGTCTTAGATCCTAAGGTACAATTTATCGATTGTGATCTATTCCCTTTTGTGATATTTGACTGAGTCGTGGCGGTTGATGCATGCACAGTAGGAGACGCTTACCATGTTGACACATAACGAATGTATGCAAAGAAGGATACGCTAACCCTGTTGACACATAACGGATACATGCACAACAGGAGACGCTTACCTTGTTGACACATAATGAAAAGAAAATCACAAAAATACTGAACTCCGAGGAAAATTCAAAAAGGAAAGTCCCTTATCAAATGGCAAAATCAAAAAAAACAAACACATCAAACGAATGGATAACAACTGTCATATTCCTGACTTGGTACAGGCATTTTCTTATGTAGAATGCATGCACAGTAGGAAACGCTTACCCTGTTGACACACAATGGATGCATGCACAGTAGGAGACGCGTACCCTATTGACACACAAAGGATGCATACACAGCAGAAGGCGCTAACCCTGTTGACACATTACGACTTCGCTTTGTTAGTTTACATGCGACTCCATAATTATTTTTATATCTTTGTTCTTTATTTTCAAATGAATTTTAGAAATTTAATATCGGTAAGCTATTGTTGACTTTAAATCTTTAAATGTGGTACAGTCGCTTGTCTATGGTAAATGAATTTGTTGTTTTTATTGTGTTATTGACATACTTTTGACATTTCGTATGTATTGCAGATACTTAAAGTAGGTAAAATGATTACTCACTGGGTTTTCATCGAGAACATCTGGATGTAGGGAACTGGATAAATAGTAGGACATCCATAGTATGGCTGCCAGAATATACGACATAAACATATTCTTGTGTATTGACACCCGTGTACATTTCAGTTGTCTAAAAATTGAGAAAAACAGGTTGTTTTGTACAGTTAATTCATAGTTATCAGTGTGCGTTTTGTACAATTTATTCATAGTTATCGTTGTGCACAGTCAATTTTCCAGACACCGGTTAGGAAGTCTGTACGTGTATAAACTTCCCCATTAAGGGCAATTCAAATTCAAATATGTAATAAAAATATAGCTTCATGTGCTACTTTTAGAGATAAATTGGGGCGGATTTTTGTAACAACTTTCGGAATATCTTCTCTACATAAGTGTGCTTTGAATTTGTATAACATGACTTTAGTAAAAACACGGCATTTTTGCCTGTATATTTATCTAATTTAAAAAAAAATCCATCGGTGAACTGTTCATAAAAATTGGCACAAATAATTTGCATACATAATCAAGCCAAATGTCATTTTTAGAAAGAGGGTCCATGAACTCGTTTTCAAATTAAAACAGTCTGAATGATAAAAATCAGTCGAAAAATGCATCTCTTCCCGATATGTCACAGTTTGACGTCGTGAAAAATAACATTTTACGTTAGCGACGTTATAATCTCCCCTGTAACTGTATCGTATGCCCTTAATGGAGACGCACTAGAGCATGTGTTTTACTCAGAAGACGTTTCACGTCTATGGTGATAAGATATAACGGGAAGGAAATCATGTGACAAGAACCTTAGCAGTGGAGTGGAGGACCGGACTGTGGAGAACAGAAGTCGATCATACAACGGATACAGTGATAAAATTGAGAATGGAAATAGGGAATGTGTCAAAGATACAACAACCCGACCGTAGAGTCGACAACAGCCGAAGGCCACCAATGGGTCTTCAATGCAGCGAGAAACTCCCGCACCCGGAGGCGTCCTTCAGCTGGCCCCTAAACAAATATGTATACTAGTTCAGTGATAATGGACGTCATACTAAACTCCAAATAATACACAAGAAACTAAAATTAAGATTAAAAACGGATACAGTGAGTAGCATTTAATTCTAGTGAACTTATATGACATTCTCAGTGTCATGACTGTACCTCGAGCACCGGACTTGATATTTCAACATGAATTTATGTTTAGTGGGCACGATTTAAATTTTCACGTCTGCAGCTTTCGAATAATTTTGTATCCCACCGATGCACATTGATTTTCATGTTACATTGTAATGACAGAGAAACCACAAATTTGGCATAGTCACAAGTGTGTGTTAGCCACCGTAGCAAATCTCATAGCATTGGTTTTGCTCATCAAAATGTCGTATCAAAATGAAGTTTACTAATCATATATAACAAATGCATTTTCACCAAATCATGTTCATGTAATGATGATACACGTAAATATATATCACTGTAAGATATACCAAATTTGCTTTATGGTATTCACATGCATCATAAACTTGATATGTATGAACTTGTAAATATGCAAATGTTTGTTGTAGAAAAAAAAAAGTATATACACCAGCTGTATATATAACGTTGCTTCTTCTGATTAAATTAGCATAATTAGCATTAAAGATTTCATATTCAAATTACAATATTGAACGGTAATTGTGTTAATCAAATTGCTATGCACAAAAAAAATCTCCTTCAATCTTATGGCCTACGACTTTCTTATCTCATGTGAAAAGTTTATAATGAACTATCAGTGGTATTTTCAAACGAAGTGTAACTATCTTTTAAACAGAATTTAGCCATAGTGATACAGTAAAGTATTCGTTTACAGAACTATGTAGGACTTTCTAACAAAAGTAAATACTATTCTGAATTTTCATCTTGACCATATTTTCACCTTATTTTGATATGGGTATACTTCAATGGCATAGCAATCCATAACTTAACATTTGAGCATGATTGTTTTATAACAATCGCTTGTCCAAGAAAAGCACGAATTTCAGAAAGATGAAATATCCAAGATCTTAACGGCAACGCCAAAACACAATTTCCTTGGTCACAAAGAAAATATTATAAACACTCAAGTCAACATCATTTGGTCTAAACGTTCTGATGAGTAAGAACATTTCCAGAAAACATTATTAACTAAAAATTTCACCAACAAAATCTAACTTTACTCTTTTACAATATTATTATAAGCCTGGTATATTTTGTGAGTTTTTACAATACCTGAAGCAACAAAAAATGCATAAAGCCAGTACCAATGAGACCATAGAGAGGACATAACCACTGAAGTATACATACAAAACTGTGTTTGCTCTCTGAAATAAAAAAAAACCCAGTGAATTCTAGTAACTTCATACTATTAAATTAAGTCTACATACTAAGCATGTTTGTTTCTTTAGATAATAAAAAGCATATGCTCGCGTTTTTCATTAATAAGAAAAAAAAGAAAAAATGAAAACCAGGTAGTTTGTACTCCACTTCATTCTTTACGTGCTTGTCTCAACCAAGGGACTTGTAATCCAATGACTGTAATTGTGCTTGTCTCAACCAAGGGACTTGTAATCCAATGACTGTAATTGTGCTTGTCTCAACCAAGGGACTTGTAATCCAATGACTGTAATTGTGCTTGTCTCAACCAAGGGACTTGTAATCCAATGACTGTAATTGTGCTTGTCTCAACCAAGGGACTTGTAATCCAATGACTGTAATTGTGCTTGTCTCAACCAAGGGACTTGTAATCCAATGACTGTAATTGTGCTTGTCTCAACCAAGGGACTTGTAATCCAATGACTGTAATTGGTAGCTGTCTGTCACGTTTGTTTTATGTATATTGTATTAAAACATTTTGGCTTTCTCTTTTGAATTGTTTCACGGTGCTGATAAATTACTATACAGTATGGCTTGCTAATTTAGAAGCCCGTATGCTGACATGTAATTGATTATATCCTTGTCCTTTAGTCTATGGATGGTTGCTCAACAGGCAGTCATACCACATCGCATAATTATCATAATATCAAGTGTAGTTTGTCGAAATAACTAAATTGTGCTAACTCCCTCAGGCAAAGTAGACCTCAGACGGTTTTCACTGTTTGGCTCATTTTTCTCCCATAAAGTTATATATTTGAGAATGTTAACTCCAACACAAAACAATTGGCTAAACCGTATCTTGATAATAGAAAAATTAAATAAGAGGCTATGAAGAGTATGCGTCGCTCAACTGGACCTAGTACACTAGTGTGCATCTACAACAATGGCAACTCTCCAACATTATAGAATAAAGATATAATGTATATCTAAAATCATTTTTTGTTGATCTTGTTTTGCTGATCACTTTTCTGTTTACATCTTCTCTCAGTTTACTAAGTGTTTAGCCCAAAATTTTGAAATGGATACAAATCGGCATTTAAGGACAGAGAGCCCTGAAGAATCCATTTATTCATTTAGGTCATCATCTAAAATTTGGTTTAGTGTACAACGAATTTATTCAACGACATTTCTTACCCTTAATTTAATCGGCACAAGTCGAGTACTTTTGTTTCAAGGTACAAAGAATTCACTTTATGACACTACTTACCCGAGCTTTTATCGTCTCGGCACAACTTGTGTAATCTGACCATGTAGTATTTGTTTCTGGGTGACGAAACCAAGTCCCATCTTTATTACAATCTTTAAAAGGCAATGCTGAAACCAAAAAACAAGACTATTAAACAAAAACAAATACAAAAAAAAATAGATCTAATTTTATAATTTAGACTGTTTTAAATAAATCCCATTATGGTACGACTACTTCTTAGGTCACAAAGAACTGTTTAAAGAAGTAAATGCTATTCGTTTTTCTGTTCACACTTAATATGAATGGAATTCTATGCGACTGTCATACAATTGAAAGGTTTAGCTAGCTATAAAACCAGGTTTAATGCACTATTTCTACATAAGGAAATGCCTGTACCAAATCAGGATTATGACTTGTGTTCTATTCGTTTTGATTTTGCCATTTGATAAGGGACTTTCCGTTTTGCATTTTTCTTGGAGTTATTTTTGTCATTTTACGTTTTTTATAAAGCCTTTAACTGATAGTATAGATGGGATTATACTCATTAGACTATCTTCATAAGTTTTTGTAAGGTCATGAATCAGAAACAACAACATGATTACATGTAAACAGACAGACATACTAAACATGGATTTTCTAAAGCTCTTGATGAGGTTAGTCAAAGTCTCTTCGTACATAAACTAGAACATAACAAAATCAAAGGTTATTTGGATACATGTAATTGGGTCTCCAACTTTCGAGTTTAATGATTTACAGATCTTGATATACTTGTGACATAGGGAACCTAATACAACATATACTTCCGACCGGACAAATGCAATGAAATCACCACCAACAGGAAAAATATACCATTGAAACATCAATCAACTTTCATGGTCACATTCTTGAATCAAAAGCGCTCAATAAGGAAGCTGTACATTTACATTCGGACTTAGCATGACCGTGAACTATATATATTTACTAATGCAAATAAAACAATCAGATTCGTTTAACGAAATGTAAACATAGGGTCAACTTCAGTGAAGGAAAATGCAAATAAATTACTGTGCGACCAACAGTAGGCAATGAGTAAAGTATGAGATCAGTTTAACACAAAGATTGTCTAAAGATGAGCAGCAAGATTTGATATATTGATAAACATTCAAACCACCCGTGAATGAACCAGAAAATAATTCCCGAGCTTAAAGCGATTTTCCGCATATACCTTAAACACAAAGCTCATGACGATTATAAAAGAAATATACAGTTTATCAAATTTGATGCAATATTCAAAAGTGGCTTTTAAATAACAGAACATAAAAAAAAGGAAAAATAAATAAAGGCTCCCATCCTAAATCGTTCATCTGGATAAATGATGGAGTGACATAAACCTTAAAAATTCATTTTTAACGCACCCACCTTACACACAGCAATATCATATATCATTCGAAGGCTTATCACCTGTATTTTCTGTTTTGCCCAGTCGTAAAAATTTCTTACGGTGCAATTTTCAACAAATCAATATCAAATGTCAAGGGAGGAAAGTTTCGTATTTTTCAAGATGTCAGCATTAATTATTCTGTCATCTGAATAGCAAAATAAAGGATTCAAATAGGAAAAATTTAGAAGAGACATTGACAGTCACTTAAGTAAACGCAGTTTGAAATATTTATGACGTATTTATTGTCCGAAATACCACTATCTGCACAACAGCTTTTAGCAGTTCTACTTTAAAACATTTTTATGTAGATTACTAATAGCATAGATGTATGGGTTTATACATCTCTGCTAATAGGTTGAAGACACACAATTTTAAAAAATGTGAAAACTTTTTAATGCAAAAATACACGCGGGCATCATACTTTGGTGGAAATTTAGGGGTCAAAACTTTTAATATCTCTGATATTTCAATATGTATTGTAACTTTAAGCCTGAATGAAAAACTGTTTTGACTTTTTTCATAAGTCGGCTAAAAAAATATATAAAAAATACTTGTTCAAATTGAATAAAAATCAACAAATGAAAAGTGAACTTTCAAAAAAATATCCTATACAAATTAGAAAATCTGTCTACTTAATTGCATCAACTACATCGTGCATTGTTCATTGTATTAATGTATAACTTCATCAACTACTGTCAAGGATGTTAATGCTATATTTAGGGATTGAAGGCATAATGTATTTTATGGAGTGGAGTGTAGTATTTAAGTGGAGTGTTGGAGTGAACTTTTGGAGTGACATTTTTGGAGTGAGAATTTGGAGTAAAATTTTGAAGTAAAATTTTGTAGTGAATAATGCACTTTACCTGCAGACTATACTGCAATGGAAATATAAAATCTGCATTTGCAGTGAAACTTTAATATTCAAACTGTGAAGTGAATGACCTCATATTAACCAAATCCTTTACAAACAATTTTAAATTCCCCTAATCAATTGATGCATAACTGAGAATTTGACATACTTTATAATTACTTTTACAGACAGCATTATGATTTCCCAGTCCCACTGAAGAAGATGGGGGAGTTTGACATACTCGTGTATGATGTTTAAAGTATTTTGTAAAATGAAAAATTAACTCTTTACATAGTATCATAATAATTGTTTTTGCACTGCTGTTCTCAGTTATTTTTTTAGACATTTTACTATTAAAGGGTTACATCAAAAGGTCAATTTCGGATACAAAAATGGGGTTGGGGATTCCTGAAAGATTTTTTCAATTGCACGAAAGAGTAACTTTCGGCACAAATAAATCTGTGGACCTATCATCGCTCATTTTATGCAAAAAATTGCCTTCCAATCATCCATTACATTTATTTCTAGATCAGCCCTCAGAGTGACGATAAACTATTTTGGAGTGGGTAGGGTCGAGTCCAATTTTTTTTTTTAATCCTACATTTAACTTTTGATGTAGCACCTAAAAGAAAAACTATAATAGGATGTTAAAATTTATTTGCTATCAATGTTTGTCATCCTACTCACACAAAGGGATTGTAAAAAATGTCAGTATTCAATGCTGTACTGATCCCAAATTTCTGTGTGTCCTTCTTTCAATTGGTCTTTAAAAGCACCCACACATCATAGAGTTGTCCTATTCTGTACTGCAGAAACACGATGTGTTGGGTCCTGGAGAATAGGCGTACGTGGATGTTAGGTACTTTCTGACATTCAATATTTTAGAGGAATGTATTTTAAAAATTCCCAACCAAAGTCCTTGACTTCCCAGTATATGCCATTAGGCCAACACTTTTTTATTTGTAAGTTTACGAGTGAGCCTACCCTCTGAAAAATTATAATTTTCATTTTGAATTTTAGTCTTCGCACAAAGACGTGCACATTAGAATTATATCCCGGTCCATTGAGTTTTCCCAGAGTTATGCCTCTTTCGAAATTTTATATAATCCCGTATGCATTTTGTCATCACAACTCCTCCGATCCTAATATAAAGATGTGCATATTAGTTTGACATCCTTTTCAGTTGACATAAAAGTTGGATTCTAAATATGGTTTTGGCTCAATTAAGATTGGGGGACGCGGATGATATTAATAAATCGTGTATGAAAGCGGAGACGCCTGTGACAAACAGGGCCTCAACTATCCACATCTAGTCAGTAACAGTAGCAATGTAGGTTACTACATGTAGGAAAAAAGGATTTAATTTTCAGACACCCTAAGGATGATTATGGCCAATTTTGGTTTTAATTGGCATGGTGGTTTTGGAGGTTTAAATTTTTTAAATGATTATCAATTTTTAAAGCATGCATCATTTGGTCTAGTGGTTTCAGAGGAGAAGACATTTTTAATAAATTTACGGAACTTAGATGACGGACGGCAAATGATGGGAAAAGTTCAAAAGGCATTTCCGGCAAGGTGAGCTAATGAGAGGAGCATATTTTATGATTTAAAAACAAACATGATCAAATAATTATTTATGATCATCTGTGACAAAAATATATATTTATTTAGCGCTGTAAATTTTCAATTTCTAATGAATACTTGTTCAAAATTAAACAAAACATTCAAAGCCCTAACATTCTACACGTTCTGGAATAATATACTTTATACTCCAAAATCTAACTCCAAAAATTCACTCCAAAATCTCACTCCAAAATTTCACTCCAACACTCCACTACAATACTCCACTCCAACACTCCACTCCATAAAATACATTATGCCGGGATTGAAGAGGCGCGGTTTTTTTAAATGTAAGATTTAAAGATGTACAAAAGGAATCATAAAAGATATGAGAAGGAATTAACATGTACAAGTACTCACAATCAGTACGACCAAACTCATAAATGAAAAATTGTGGACACTCTCCGTATGCTCTTGTTCCAGCTTTTGTATAGTTCCAACAGCTGTACCCGTCAAATGTCGCATTACAGTACAAATTACCTGCAAAACAAGACAAATTCTAAAGATATCAACCATTACAAACTGTATTGATCTTTTTGTTTTTATTTTTTATTGCTATATACCTGATATGTAATAAAGTGTTAATACGTTTTTTTCGTGGTAATTACCGTTCTAGCTTATATTTGTATTGTGTAGTTTGTAAATAGGTTTTGGATTTTCAAATATTTTGGCCTATAACATCACTGAAGTGACATGGAATGGGATTACAGGTCAATGAGAGGATGGTTATTACGGGCGATTTGAACTCTGACTTACTTACAGCGCACAACAACAAACTGATCGACACATTAAATTTGTTCAATCTAACCAATGTAATTAAGTTACCTTCTAGAATAATAGTATCACTCTGCTATATCCGATTATAATAAGTGACTCTATGACATGTTCCTTTTCTAATGTTCTAAAAACCCCATCCGTTATTAGTGATCATGATGCAACTATTGCATTTCTCGAATGTCCAATGTCCGATTTTAAATCTTTTTAAAGAGAAATATGGCTCTATGATAGGGCTGATAAATCAAAATTTGCGGAGAAGTTAGATGAAATAGACTGGAACACAGTGCTTCCGGACACTAAAAACACCAACGAGTTGTGTGAAATATTTACAATAGAATTTTTGAAAATAGCCAAAGAGTGTATCCCTACTAAACTAAAAACTATAAGACATAACGACAAACACTGGTTCAATAACGACATAAGACGAGAAATTCGAATTCGAAACCGATTAAGAAAAAAAGCAGTTAAATCCAAGACTGAAAATGACATTTTGAGGTACAAGCAACAGAGAAATAAAGTAAATAATATGGAAAAAATAGCCAAAGAAAAGTTTGAAACAAATTTGGACAGTATTATACTAGAAAACTCCCCGAACTCAAAAACGTATTAGAAACTTATGTAAATGTTGATTAAATCAAATAAAAATTAGGACAAAATACCCCCTCTCCAAAATATTATAAATGATAATGGACTAAACGATGTCGTATATGAAGATGAGGAAAAATGCAGCTTATTAAACAAATATTTTAGTATGATTTCAAAACTTGATGAAGAACATGCAAATTTACCCGAATTTTAAACAAAAACTGATAGTAAATTTTCGGATATCAAAATAAATACACAAGAAATCATAGATATTATCCAGATATTAGATCCAAACAAGGCATCAGGCCCAGATGTGATCAGCCATAAAATGCTTACGTTATGTCCGGAAAAGGTTGCAGTTCCGCTAAACATTATATTCAACAAATCTTTAAGAGAAGGCAAATATCCAACCAGTTGGAAGATAGCTAATTTAATACCTATTTTCAAAAAGGGGGATTCATCCTTGCCTTCAAATTACAGACCAATTTCTCTTATTAGTTGTGTTGGAAAAGTAATGGAAAGAGTTGTTTTATAACACTTGTAGCACTTGTATAATCATCTACACGCTAACAAATTAATTTATGAATATCAATCCGGATTTCTTCCCAAAAATTCAACTGTCCATCAACTTTTAGAAATATACAACTGCATCTTAAACTCTTTGGAAAAAAAAGAAATAAACTGTTTTGTATTCTGTGATTTCTCTAAAGCGTTTGACAAAGTTTGGCATAGAGGTTTTATTCACAAACTGAAAGCCTATGGTATTGGTGGAACCTTATTACAGTGGTTTGAAGATTATCTGCATGACAGGAAACAAAGAGTAGTACTGAATAATTCGTCCTCCTCCTTTTGTAATGTGTCAGCAGGTGTACCCCAGGGATCTGTTTTGGGCCCTCTTCTCTTTGTTTTTTATATTAATGATATTGCTGATAAGCTTACATCGCTGTGTAGGCTATTTGCAGACGACACTTCATTCAGTTATTCCGGTAGCGATGGTGAACAGATTAAATCTGTGATCGACCACGACCTAAAAGAGCTGGATGTTTGGTCAACTAAATGGCTTATGTCATTTAATCCTGATAAAACAGAAATTATGATATTTTCAAATATTGAGATACCAGATCTCAACTTTTCCCTAAATGATAAAACTATCCCTATAAATACATCGCATAAGCACCTGGGAGTTACCTTTAGTTGTGACGCAAAATGGAACAATCGTATTGAAAGTATAATTACAAGTGTAAAGAAACACCTTAATGTTCTGCGTAAACTTAAATATCGACTGTTTCGTAATAATTTAGAAAAACTTTATCTAGTTTTTATTAGACCCATTTTTGAATATGCCACGGAAGTGTGGGATAATTGTGGAATATGTTATTCAAATAAATTAGAAAATTTGCAATTGGAAGCCGCAAAAATTGTAACAGGTCTACCAATCTTCACTAAAACTGATACTCTGTACTCTGAGGTTGGCTGGGAATCATTATATGAAAGACGAAGAAGAAGAAAATTATAGATGTTTTATAATATAAATAAAAAACATGCACCTGAGTACCTGTGTAATCTTGTCCCCCCATGTATACAAAGTACAACCAACTATCCGTTGCGAAACGGTCAAAATATCATTGTTCTATTTTGTAGACTTTCCCTTACCACTGAATCTTTTATTCCATCCACAATACGAGAATGGAATAAGCTTGACTTAAAAATTCGAAACACCGACTCTATATCTAAATTTAAGAGAGAATTGAAAAATGAAAGTGTTCAGAGTAGAGTTGCGCCGTATTATATGTACGGTCCGAGGAAACTGAATATTATTTTAACTCAATTGCGATGTTCCGCTTCATTTTTAAACTCTGGCCTTTTCAAAGCTAACATTATACTGGATCCTTCGTGTCATTGTGGGTCTGATATTGAGGATGTTCATCATTTTCTTTTAGTTTGCCAAAAATACACTACATGTAGAGAAATTTTACTTAACAATCTTAATTGGCTTACTGAAAACTTTATTATTGATACTATACAATTAACTTGCGGGGATCTTGAACTTTCGAATGAACAAAATCTCCTAATTTTCAAACATGTTCAAGATTTTATTAAAAGGTCTAACAGATTTCTAGTACCTTCATAAAATATTATTGCTACCGGCACGGATGATCATCACCATCAAACCTAAGTCAACATCACAGAAAATATAATTTGCTTCTTTTTCTTTTCCTCCTTTTTCATTCTTCTTGTTCTTTTTTTCTTTTTATTTATAGTTCGTATAATATTTAATGAATTTGTTAGCTTTACATGCATGCTCATAATGTTATTATTGTATATATACTTGTATTGTAATATGGAGAAGACTTCATAAGTATGATTTACTTGTGTCTCATCCTTTTTGTTGATATTTAGCAAATAAAATATGTTTAAACTAGAAACTGAAGTGACATAAATTGTCGAAATGCGCATCTGGTGCAGTAAAATATTGGTAATGTTTATATTATTATAATATAAAAATAGTTTTTATAGGCAGAAATTTATTAAGAAATACGACTTAAAGAAAACATAGCAATACAGAATATCTTTCTTTCTTTATTTAGTCCTTTGTATTCTAAATTACAACGTATTAGATCGTATAAATAAATGGAGAATGTGTCTATGGGCCATAGATGACCCCGCTTGTAAATATGCATGAAACAACAGATTTATCAATGTTTCCATTTATAAAGGGGCATAACGGTAAAAGTGACGTCACCCAATTTCAAACTTGATCTGTGTTTTGTGGTAATAAGCATTTTGTATAAGTTTCATAACATTTGGTTGAGGCAAACTAAAGTTAAAAAACGGAAAAGAAAAATTCAGCAATTTTTATGTTTATAAAGGGCATAACTCATGAACGGTATAAGTGACGCCACCCAATTTCGAAACTGATCTGTGTTTTGTCGTAATAAGCATTGTGTATAAGTTTCATATCATTTGGTTGAGGCAAACTAAAGTTAGAATACGGAAAAGAAAAATTCAGCAGTTTTATGTTTATAAAGGGGTATAACTCTTGAACGGTAAAAATGACGCCACCCAATTTCGAACTTGATCTGTCTTTTGTGGCAATAAGCATTGTGTATAAGTTTTATAACATTTGGTTGAGGCAAACTAAAGTTAGAGACCGGAAACCAATTTTGGGGACGTACGCGACGGACGGATAAGGGTAACACACAATGCCCCCTTCGCCTAGCGGCGGGGGTATAAAAAAATAGCTGCTTTATAACTCATGAACGGTAAAACGTACGCGACGGGACGGACAAGGGTAACACTTAATGCCCCTTCGCCTAGCGGCGGGGGCATAAAAAATTAGCTGCTTTGCACTCCTGATTTTAACACCAAGTACACACAGACATCCAATTTGCAGTTAAAAGTGCTATATGATTGAAAATGTACTGCAAAGCTCTTAAAAAAAAAAGGTGATATGGTATGATTACCAATGAGACAGCGACATGTATCAATCAGAGTCGAAATGCGCGCATTCGTGAATTAATGTGTTGTTCGGTCACTCGTAGAATATTTTTCGATATTTGCATTCTTCGATTAGTTATTCTATAATTAATGAGTATGTTTTGCGTAAAATTAAAGCTTGCTTGTTTGTTATGTTTTGTTGTAAACAGAGAAACTGAAAGTCTGTTACTGTACTTATTCATTTGATTAAATGTTCCGATTGGCCAATAATAATATGTGTTACTCATGTGTAGTAAACAAATTTAGTATTGGTTTTATGGTCACTTTTAAAACAAACGAGTCAACTCTGGAAACATATATGCTGCAGCTTTAATTGTATAACCAACAAATTAATGAGTTCTTTAAATAACCATTCAATATGTCACTGAGAGTCAATATGTCACTGAGAGTTAACAACAATCAATCAGTGATAGATTTTCGCAATGCTGTGTGGCCCTATTATCATTTTACATCATTAAAATGGAAATTTATGTATCAACAACATAAATTTGTTTAAGAAAAATCTATGGATTTGAAATTGAAGTCTGATGATTTTAAGATAAATTTTCGAACGTTTTCGCCGATTTTATGGGCTTTCTATACAAATGTTCACCTATTTTGAAAGAATTAAATCCGTGATA